GAAAAAGGACGACCGAAAAAACCGTCCGAGTTCAGCCATTTTTTTAAAATTATGTAATTAAAAAATATACCATCTAAAAATCGAACTGAAATCTGTACCGTATCAAGATACTATTCTACCAGTAAATCATTAATGCTTTTGGTTTAAGACTTTTTTTAATTTTATGTATACTCTTAATTGTACTTTTGCGCGAAATAACCGACCGATTTTGGTCGCTTTTGTTTTAAAAAAATAAAAATATCGACTGAAATTGGTCGATTTTTTTAAATGACCGACCGATTTTGATCGATTTTCTGAATATTAATTTTAATTTATTATAAATAAAAGACCGGCCGAAGTTTGTGTGTTCTTAAAAAATAAATTTCTCGAGATGCAAAAATAATTTTCTCCACTTTGGCGCCAAAAAAAGAAAAGATCGAATTCGGTCGAAATCATAAAAAAAAGAAGTTATATATTTTCAAAGACCGGCGACTTCGACCAACCGAAGTCGGCCGTGGACGATTTTTTCTAGTAATGATCGCCACTTTAACGTCCATTTAGTCGTAGAATAATTTACAAGACTTACATGATAATTGTTGTACCAAACTGAGGGGCCGATCAATCCCATCGAATACGGGTTCGACCGAACTCAGTCGCTTTGGTCCAATCTATATATTTGTCTTAAAAATTCAATTGAATATGTATAAATTATTAATTTAGAATTCAGTAATTTAAAAGGATTAAAATCCTGAACCCATAAATTTCAAATCATAGCTCCATCTCTGACCAAACTTCGTACAAGTTTTCACACGTAGACACGGAACTCTGTGCGTATAGATACTGTTTTGTGCAATAAAAATTAAAATAATTGTATTGTGTGAATTCCTTATGGGATTGGGACTCCTTAAGGATCGAGTTTATTCTGCTTTCTGAATATATCAATGGTTTGTCCGTTTGTAGTTTATATCGACCGTCAGAGGCGGGGCTAAGATTTGAAATTTATGAATTCAAAATTTTAATTTTTTTAAGTTATTGAATTTTAAAATAATAATTTATGCATATTTAATAAAAAATTTAAGACAAATTATAAGATTTGAATCAAAGTTACTAAATTCGACTGAATTCATAACCAAAAGGCTAGGACCGTTTCATTAAACCATAATATGTATGACATTTAGTTCATTCTCACCACATGAGGTGATGCCTCAGCCCCATCAGAACTTAAAGAAAATCAGAAAAGCAATAAATAAGCAACAAAAGACATGCGCCCAAAGTTGCTTTCGATTCACACGGTGTTTATGGGCAGACCTACAGAAATGAAATGTGTGCATGGCAAAACCTATATGGGTCTTTTCATAATGAAAGAGTTAGAAGACAAGTTTAATAGTAAGAAAGTTCAATCACAAACCAGAACAGTGAGAGTTAACAGCAAATACAAGCTACATTAAAATACGAAAAAGATTAAAAATTCTTAACATATGTATGTGTATATATGAACAGGATAGACTAAAATATTTTGTTCATCTCAACTTTAAAATTAAAGATCTAAATTGGAGACAGATAGAACAGAGTAAGGGTGGCATGTGGGTCGGTCCCGGGCCTAAGTGAGCTAAGTGGGCCGGTCCCAATTTAAACGGACTTCGCGATTCCGATTTTGGTGGTCCTTTTGTAGGAACCGGCCCGGGACCGGGCCCACGAACTAATAGTCCCGGGCTAAGTGGGCCAGACCCGGGCTAAGTGGGCCCAACGGATATTTCTTTTTTAAAAAAAATAAAAAAGGTCCAAATATGCCCTTGTACTATACGAAATTGAGCACATTTGCCTTTAGTTAATATTTTAGCTCAAATATGCTCTTACCGTCACATAGTTGGTCCATATATGCCCTTAGAATTACACAGTTGGCTCGTATATGCCCTTTTCGAAACGGAATCCACCCAAACTAATTAGCTCTTTCATTAATTGTATTAAAGTGTATTACAAACACTATTTTCTTTTTATTAGTATTTGTTTTCTTTACCTATCTCTTTTCTTTCTTCTTTTTTCTTTTCTTTTCTTTTTTTTTCTTTTTCTTTCTCCCTTATCCGATTTCCTCCATACTGATGTCTTCTCTATTTTCGTCACCAATTTCACTTGACAAAACTCATGAATTCCAATTACTAAGAAGTTAGAGAGAAAAAAGATGGTAATAAAAATATCTAAGGCAATTCCTTGTAAATTATATTATAGAATTGTGAGCTAAATTTTGTAATTCAAATTTAAAGACAAAAATATTGTAAAGAGATATTCAAAGCAATGCGTTCTAATTTTATTTTAGCATTAAAAAAATATGGCAATATCTTTCTTAGTCTTCCTCCCCCCCTATGGAATACAACTTACATGGTACATTGAGAAGAAAAAGAAACTAATAAATATGTGCCAAAATACAACTTATATAATACATATTAATTTTTGTTCATACAAGTTACATGGTATCTCTTACAAACTTCATAAATCCATTAAGGACCGGAAGAATTTTCGTTGGTGGTGGCGAAAAAGAATCTTGGTCCTCACCACTTCCGGGCGAAGCAGAATCCTCCGCAAGTCCAGTTAGCATTTCTTCGTAAGCTTCGTCTACCTCTGGTTGTGATTCAGCAAGTCTAAAATTTCTTCTTTCCGAACGGATCCAATCTCTGAAAAGTACTGATTTTTCTAAGCTCTCCCTTATAGACGCTCTATAATTACCGAGTTGAAGTCTTGCTTGACTGAAAATGCTCTCTGATGCCACTGTTGAAGCTTGAATAGTTAAAATATCTCGGGCCATCCCTGAAAGAATCTGAAAGTATTTTTCTTTGTCCTTCCACCATTCCAAAATATTAAAGGAGCCGTCGGGATTCACTTCCTCAATTCTCTGTGATACATAAATTTCAAGCTCATTTAGTTGTGAAAAATTACTAGTAGTAGAACCTTAAGAACCCCTGAACCCCACCCAAGCACTAAGTGCTCTTACTCCCCCAGTTCTTTTAGATGATTGAGAATCAGAAGAAGAAGGAGTTGGAACATTTGGTCTAGTCTGATCTAATGCAACTTGATAAGCATTATAAATAGTTTCAGTATTTATTTTAATTGAGGCTATTGCTTTCGGAAGTTTAGACAACTCATTTTCTTCAAGTAGGATTATAAATTTTTCTAACCTTATTGTGATAATTTGTTGTTTTTCAAATTTTAATATCGCTCTTTACGGTTGTGCGAGGAAAACCTTTAAAAGTAGGATTATAAGTTTTTCTAATATAATGTACAAAGTTAGGGTCAGAAGGAAAACTATAGGGTAAGCACATAGCAATAATCACTTTTGTCAATTCTTCCCGATCGTTTTTTGGATCATAATATAAAATATCACCGGTAACAGTGTTAATTCCCGATTAAAATTGATTTGATCCGGTACTAGGGTCAGCCTGATTAGGAGTAGGTATACTTGCCCCCTCAGCCAAAGCTTTGGCACGAAGATATTTGACTTTATCTTGAGGGTGTATCAATATGTGTCTAGCCAAAGTTCCCGTCCCTTCCCCCCTCCCTCCCTCC